ACACTTCACCTTTTCCCCTCCCCGTCTCCCTTCTTCCTTTTCTCTTTCCCTTGTATCCATCCACGTATAGATCCCTTTATCAGACATGCAAGGCCCACAGGAGCTAGATGTAGGGACCGCATCTTGAGGCCTTCCCTTCAGGAGCTCCGATCCAATGGGGAGCCAGAGAAGAAGCCCATCATGGTGAATCCCTGGAAGCAAGTTCTTCAGTGTTTTGTTTTTGTTTTTGTTTTGTTTTGTTTTGTTTTAAGGATTTTATTTATTTATTCATGAGAGACACAGAGAGAGGCAGAGACACAGGCAGAAGGAGAAGCAGGCTCCATGCAGGGAGTCTGAAGGAAGATTCGATCCCAGGATCCCAGGGACATGCCCTGAGCCAAAAGCAGATAGATGCTCAACCACTGAGCCACCCAGCTGCCCCTTCAGTGGTCCTTTTAAAGAAGCTTTTCCTGGCCTTCTGGAGTTTGAGAATCTGAGGTAGAAGGTGATCTTTCAAAGGAGTAGTCCGCCTTTGGAGCAATATTAGCATGTCTGCATCTTTGGAATCTCTCAGGACCCTCGTCAGCTGCCCACCCTTCCCTTTATCCCACTGCTCAGGCAGTGGCTTGAGCAGAATAACACCCAGGCTGGCTCTGGAATGGTGGCCATGGGAAGGGGCAGGGTGCTGTCGTGGCCTGGAGAGGGTGGCTCTTTCCTTTGCGATGGGAGAGAGCAGAACCTGGAACAGTGCTGCACATCAGAAGTCAGTCTAAAATGGACACGGGGCCCCAGGTCTTCTTCCTTGAGGAGATTAAGATGGATACAAAGAGAAGGCAATGTGTTTACAGACACAGAGAAAAGCTGACAATCAATATTCCTTATTTTCGGGGCACGTAGGTGGCTCAGTGGTTGAGCATCTGCCTCTGGCTCAGGGCGTGATCCCGGGGTCCTGGGATCGAGTCCCACCTCGGGCTCCCTGCAGGGAGCCTGCTTCTCCCTCTGCCTGTGTCTCTGCCTCTCTATGTCTCTCCTGAATAAATAAATAAAATCTTTAAAATAAATAAATAAAAATAAATAATTCCTTATTTTCCAAATAGACATAGTTACGTATGTTTTGGGCCAGGAGCCGTGTTTTGGCTTTTCCTTTCATCCTCTATACCTTCAGCTTCTTTTTATTGTGACATCTTGATGGTGGTCACGGGGGTCACTTGCAGAGCAGCAGTCGCCAGCAACTGGAGCTCTAGGAATGGAAGAATTTGCGTACAGCGCTTTGGAGCTTGGGCGTCAGAGTCAGGTTCAGGTACCCACTGAACCCCAGTCCCGTTGAGCGAGTCATGGTAGGTACCTCTGTGTCTCAGCTTGGTCCCATGTAAAATGTGGAGAGGGTCACTGTCTTCCTTCTGGGAGCGCTGGACGGGCCGAGTGAACCATTCCACGTGAAACACCTGCCCTCACCCTGGAACCGTGCCCGGCACATGGTACGCACACGCGGCTCAAACACCTCCTTATCACAGACGCTCTTTCCTGGCCGTGCTGGGTAAACAGCACCCACCTCGGACCCGTCTCCCATCCCCATTCTTTCTTTATGGATCTCTGGAGCACTCAGCACCATCTGACCTGTTTACTTATTTGTTTGTGGACTCTCTGCCCCCCACTCCCGTTGAGCCCCACAAATGCAGGGATTCCTATTGTTTCTGTCTAATAATTGTGTCCCTAGGGCACAGGGAGGGACCTGGTGGAATAGATGAGTATCTATTTTCAGAGATAACCTCCAGGCCCAGACTCAGGCACAGAGAGGGAACGTAACCTGCTGAAGACCAGCCGGCTACTGGCCATTGGTCAATCTGGACCCTGGACCAGTCTGTTTTTTTTGTTTTAAAGATTTTATTTATTTATTCATGAAAGACACAGAGAGGCAGAGACACAGGCAGAGGGAGAAGCAGGCTCCATGCAGGGAACCCGATGAGGGGACTCCATCCCAGGACCCCAGGATCACTATCTGAGCTGAAGGCAGAGGCTTAACTGCTGAGCCACCCAGGCACCCCCAGAGTCTGTTTTGTATTTCAGACCATGATGCCTCTCTGCTGGCGAAACAAACAACCAAAACCCAAAAGTAACTGGTGCCTACAGGACAGTGAGGACGTGGTCAGGGTTAAGTAAAAGCTGCATGGGGTAGCTGTTCCCTGCACCTGCCCCCAGGCCCCCGTTTGGTTGTACCCCAGCCTCTCTTGAGTAATATTCATCAGGGAGTATTAACTTGCCAAGAGAAGAAGCCAGCCTAAGAGGGTTACACAGGCATGGTGGCCAGGCCTGTGCGTAGTGGCCGTGCTCAGAGTGAACACGAGTTCGTGCCCCTTCCTAGAGGGCCGCCAGTCCACCTGAAGGCTCCGGCTTGTGTGCTTGTGTAGAAGACATCGGGCATCTCGTGGGGGGCCCATTTCCAGACTCAGTGCGAGCTTCTAAAACATGCCAGATGCTTCTGGTTGTTCAGATGCTTGCTATTACATTTCCCCCAAGCCCAAGGTGGGGCTGCAGGGGTCTTGAAGGTAGAAAATTGTCTCTATTATCTAGACCTCACTCCGGTTGGCCTCTGGTAGGTGTTACTATTCCCAATTTTTTTTTTCAAAGACTTTATTTATTTATTCATAGAGACACAGAGAGAGACAGAGGCAGAGGGAGAAGCAGGCTCCATGCAGGGAGCCTGACGTGCGACTCGATCTCAGGACTCCAGGATCATGCCCTGGACCGAAGGTAGTGCTAAACCACTGAGCCACCGGGGCTGCCCTATTCTCATTTTTAAGATGAGTAACTGAAGTTCAGGGAGGTGTGAATCCTGAGGCTGAGATTCCGGCCTGGCTCTGCAAGGTCCCAAGCGTCTCACACCTCTGCTCTGCTCCTCCAATGTTATTATATTTGGATTCAGGTTCCTGTTGTATTTATTGAGCAATAGCCTAGGCCGGGTGCCGTGCCTAATTTTGTTTCTCATTTGCTCCTTTTGGCATTTAAACCTTCTCCAGGTGCGGTCACTGTGGCTGTAAGAAGTGCGTGAGAGAGGTTACTCTGTCTCACTGCCTTTTGACTCTCTGGGCTGTCCCGCTGAGCTGTGGGCAAGGAGCCCAAGTGTTGGAGTAGCACTGTTCTGGATCCAGACCTGAGCTGGCCTCTTAATACTGTGTGATCGCCGTCCAGTACTCAGCCTCTCGGAGCCTCAGTTTCCACATTTGTAGAATGGAGCTAGTCCACTTACTTGGAGAGGACACCAAGGATTTGAGATATTAAATATAAAATACAAAGCATGCTGCCTGCTGCACAATTGGCCATCAGGAGTGGTGGTGGCTATTTTGTCATTGTATTTTAGTACAGGGTTGTACCTAAATGCTACTTCTTTGTATGCCTTGTCTTTGTCCCTCTGGAGGGTGATGACCAGGCCTTATCCATCTTGGCATCCCCACCTTCTAACACCGTTCTCGGCACATGGCTGATTTATGCCCATTGCAGCGTGCACACATGCATGGATGCAAAACCCACCTAACGGGGCCATTCTGGCCGGTTGTCGAGGGACACATTTCCTGTAGTCTTATCCCCGCTTGTCAGATCCAGGCCAGAACAACGGTAGGGTGGGTCCATTGTTCCCAGATAACATTTCCTATCTTAACGTCTCCCTGGGGCTGCCCCTGGCCCCACCCTGCCCTCCTGTCCTATCACTGATCCCCACTTGGACCCTGACAGGTTCCATTCCAGCCTGGCGTGAGGACAACTTTCATGGGGCAGGCACTGCTCCTTGCCTCCTCCCTACCCTAGGTTACAACAGTTGTGGAAGGGAGACATCTCTCTCTCCAGAACTTTCCATTGTTGTGGGAGGACCCAGACAATGTTAAATAAAAATGCTTTATGTTAGCCCGACTCTTCATAATGTGACTTCTGCCTTCCTGCTTGTGCTGCCCAAGATGCCTTGTCTGATTGGCAAATCACTTCTTATCCCTGATCTACCATTAAGAAAGCTGAAGCAGAAAGGGCTGGGGTTCTTAACATCACTGGTTAGCTAGAGCCTAACCAGTTGCCGGCTCTGTGCACCCAACCAATGCTTTTTCCCCTGCATATGCCTACATGGTTGTGTCTGTTGGTATTTTATGGCCTTGCCTGTTTCCAGAAAAGTTTGGATGGCTCTGTCACAATCCTAATGATCCAGAGCACTTTCAGGTTTGCTGGCTCAGTGTGACACCCCGGGAAGATGTGAGGTGCCTGGGCATCACCTGTGGGTAAGGAAGCAGAAACCCAGGAAGCCAGGCGCCTTCTGGAGATGACCTAACTCAAGGTGGTGGCACATGCCCCTCTATTGTATTTCCCTTCTTTATTCAGTTTGTCCCTTAGATCAGTTGTTCTCAAACAGGCTATAATGCTGAACTCGCCTGAGGAATTTAAAAATCTTGATGCAGGAATTCCCCATGCCCCCCATCCCCCCAAAGATTCTGACTTGGAGTGGGGCCTGGGCATGGAGGTTATTACCTCCCCCAGGTGATTCTCTGGTGCAGCGGTGTTGGGAGCCACTGTCTTAGATGGTACCTGCTACGGGGGTGCTGGGAAGCTCGTAAGAAGCTGGGAGTGCTCAAATTCTAGTTCAGACCACAGCTCCAGCCCTCCTAAAGCAAACCTTGACTTAAACCTGCTCACCTTTTCCCAGATTCAGGGCAGCTCTTGTCTCAGAAGAAATGACAGTGCTGAAGGAAGAAACCGAGAGAAGAAGTGAGATTGGGCACAGTCCCCAGAGCTGCCCTGTGCTGTGCCCCTGTCCTGTGCCAGACACAGGTCTGAGCACCGTACACACAGATCAGCTTATCCAATTCACAGTTCACCCAGTAGCACCAAGAGCGGCCTCTGCTGTTATTACCCCCATTTAACAGATGAGAAGACGGGAATAGATAAGCAACTTGCTCAACCTGGTAGTGGCGGAGCTGGGATTTGAAGACAGATTGCAGGCTCTGGAGGCTATTGTTTTAACCACTCTGTCTGTTGCTTCACAGGCTGACCTGGGAACCGTGTATACGCAGTCCCGTTGGCCGAGGTTCCCTTCATGGTGGTGGTAAGGCATAGAGGTAATCTATCACTCTGTTGTTCAAGAGTCTCTAAGACTCCCTATTGTATCTGCAGAGGAAAGCTAAACTCAGCATAGCATGAGGCCTTTCCTTTCCAGCCTGACCACTGGCCACTCCTTCATACTCCCTGTCCCACATGATGTCAAGACATCTGAAAGCCCCTCCCCTCTCTCTGCCCAGTGACCCCCTACTCTTCAATACCTAGCTCAAATATCCTCTTCTCTAACTTGTGCAGTGAGAGTCCATACCTCCTTCCTCCTTATTCCCAAAGCTCTTGGCCCCTCCATCTATGACCACATGGATCACAGTCTTTCTTTCAAGGCCCTCCAGCGGGTCATGAATCCTTTAGGATGGGGGGGGTCTTCTCTACTCATGTTTGTGTGCCCCTCCATGTCCACCATGGTCTTCAGTGGATACCAGCCTCTCCCAGGTAGGATGACCTCCTTTACCTTAGGTTCTTCTTCATTTCAGCTAGGGAGATAAGTGTTCTTTATCAGAGGATTTTCTGTTTGTAATGGATGCTTCTCTTCGAGATGCCTCGGGCTCCAAATTGCATAATTGATATTTACTGTGTTTTCCCAGGTCATTGGGCTATGGTTTTCGGAGAGTCCTGAGCTCCTGTGAAGATCTGCTTCTCTCCAGCCTTGGGCTATCTGCATTCTTGAACATCTCTGGGCCCAGAAGGAAAAGAAGAATGCTGAGCAGCTCAGGGAATGGCTTGAATGAAAAGAGGTTGGTGCCTTGGTTAGTGTGTTCGGCTTGATCCCAGAATGAAACCACTGGGGACCAGAGGAGGAAGGGGCAGGATGAGTGGAGGTTTTGGTGACCAGAAGTAAAATATGTTTGTTTCTTCATGTGTTTTTGTGGAACTGGCAGGAGTTGCTCACTAAGGAGCAGGAAGGTCCTTTTAGCAGAGTCTCACCAAGGTCTGAGGAGGGTGGGCACACAGGGAGCCACCAGCTTGTCGAGACTTGGCTGCATGAGAAGGATAGGAAAAATCAAGTTTATAAGGCACTGGGCGAATTCTAGGAATTTCTCCTTGAGAAACACAGGCACAGATTCAGATGGTGTGAATAACATCTTCATCTCAATATTGTTGGAATTGTCAAACGATGAGACACGATTTATCAGTATCCAATGTTTCTTTTGTAATCAGATTACTGGATATGTACAGAAACAGGAAAGTATGACCCAAACTCAGGAGAAAAAATAGTCAATAGAAAACAGAATAGGGGCACCTGGTGGCTCAGTGGTTGAGTGTCTGCCTTCAGCTCAGGTTGTGATCCCGGGGTCCTGGGATCAAGTTCTTCATTGAGCTGCCTCTCCCTCTGCCTATGTCTCTGCCTCTCTCTGTGTTTTTTGTGAATAAATAAATAAAATATTAGAAAAAAAGAAAAAGAAAACGGAATAGAATTGAGCCAGGGTTAAAGTCACACTTGTGTGATCGATTGGTTTTTATTATCATTAAATAGACTATTTTTTGGAGCAGTTTTAGGGTCTCAGAAAAATTGAGTAGAATACACAGAGAGCCCTCACATACCCCTGTCCCCACGTACGCACTCTCAGCATCTCCCACACCAGAGTGGGACACTTTTTACAATTGTCAAATCTACACCGACACGTCATTATCACCCAGACTTCATAGTTCACGTTAGGATTCACTCCTGGTCTTGTAGGTTCCATGACAAAAGTGCGACATATACCCACCGTTGTACTATCGTGTGCAAGTTTCACTGCTCCACCTGTTCTTCTGTCTTTGTGAGGCACAATCTTTAGAAGCTCCTCAGTTCGGGATTGGTTGATCAAGTCATGGGGTATCCGTACAATGGTATATGACGCAGCTGTTAAAAAGAATTCCTGGCTTTATGGAGTAATGTGGAACGATCTTGAAGCGATGGTCACTTTCAAAAAGCATTATCAACCTTAATGATGTTGATTATGAAAGGAGGGCATAGAAGAGCATAGAGTGTGCGAACAGCTCCTCTAACGCACAGCCACCTCTCCCTCGTGAGCACCTCTACTTCTTGCACCTACACTTAACACCTTGTGCATTCTCACCTCTACGCTCACCTGTACGGCCCAGGAACCAGGCCGCTCCGTGAGGGCAGGACTGCTCTGTCCATTGGTAGTACTGTTGCCCAGGCCAGTCCCAGGGCCAGACACCTGGTCGCCATCCATCAGTATCTGTGAATACACAAAGCCATGAACGGCTGGGGGGGGGGGTTCTTTCTACAACTTCCTTCTACCAGCGGTGCTTCACGCACACAGGTGGCTGAGGGGAAAGCCCCAGACGACCCCTCTCTCTCTCCTGCATTCTGGCCCGGCCTCCCCTCCTCTCTCTCTTGAATCTCTGTGCTCTGCAAAGCTTCCTCGTTATTCCAGGTTGTAGAGACACACAACCTGGGGCGAGGCCGGAAGGGGACCTTGGAGACAGTAATGTGTAGTGACACCGTCAGTGTAAGTTGGGCACGTCTGACCTCGCTGGCGAATTTGGTCCTAGGAGCCAGGCGCCCCGGCAGCACGCTGGCGAGTCAGACCTGATGGGCTCCGCATCTGAGCTCTTGCTTGGCTGCCTCTGTGACCTTGGCCGTGTCACTTAACCTTGCTGGATCTCGATTTCTTGATCTGTAAAAGGAAGCTAAAAGTGCTTCTCTCGAGGTTGATCTCGAGGATTCGCTCAGATGGCTAGCGCAAGTGAAAGTGCCCTTTGAGGGAAGACCAGGGGAAAGTGTTTGTCCTGTAGGGAGGAAAGCCAGGAGGGCCCCGTGTTGTCCTCAGGTGCCTCAGCCTTCCCGGGGGGGGGGGGTGCAGGGTGTGGGGTGGGGGGAATCCCCACTGCAAGTCAGGGAAGTTATAATTTGGCTCTTCCTCTTTTATTCATTGCGCTTCTCTCGGCCGCCCAGGGCTTTCAGCTTAAGCAAATAAATTACCCTGCTCTGCTGGGCTCTGTGTTCTGTAGCCAGCCATATGTTTGAGCTTGATAGAGATTCTTATCGGGCGGGTAATATTACCCAGCAAGGGATGACATTTCTTATCGGAGGCCCTGAGGAATCAGAGATAGGAGCCCTTTCTTTTCACCGGCAGCCAGGCCTCAATGTGCGGGGCTGGCAGGCAGGGTGGGGGCGGGCCAGGGCGCCAGTGGGCTCTGCGCCGGGCATCAGCTGGCCCTCACATCCTCCACATGACAACCGCCGCTCCAGCAGCCTGCCTTGTCATTGGAAGAGGGCCGGTGAGATTTTTGCATATGATAGAGGCAGGGCAGGGCAGGGCAGGGGGTGTGAATGAGGAAGGAAGGAGGGGATGTGAAGATGCTGGATCAGTTGGGGGTGGTGGATCAGTTGGGGGTGGAGGCCGAGCGCTGGCACGTGTGCGGCCTTACCCCTTGAGCGAGGGCCAGGTGGCCTCCTGCTGCAGAGCCCAGGCCTGGGGCCTCTTCCCCAGGCTTCTGCAGAGCGGAGGCAGCCCAGGCCCAAGTACCCACCACGGTGTTGGCTGTGGGAGTAGCGAGGTGCTGGGTCATGCCCCCCATCCTCCGCCCTGCTCCGTGATGAGGAGGCTGTCCTGTGTGGGTGCAATGGGGTGGAGGCCACAAGGGGCTCCTGGGCCCTCTGGCTTCTGTTTGGGAGGGTGGCAGGGGTGGGCAGGGAGGGAGTAAGGTCAGGATATTCATTCTCCTCCTCCAGACTGATACAGGCCAGGTCTACTCAGAGGCCTCCCCATCTGATTCCCGATTCTGGCAAGTACTCACTGTGCGCTATCAGACAAGTTCTTAACCTCTGGTGCCTTGGTTTCTCTATCCATAGCCCAGGGTGACACCACTTTTCTTGGTGTCTCCAGCCCCTTGTCTTTGGATCTCAGTGACTTCTGTGTCTCTCTTTTGCCCTGGTACTGGAGGAAGGGGCACTGCCGGGTCCCCAAGGGCCTGAGGCCAGAGCTCCCTGCAGCTGAAGCTCCAGGGTGGGTAGAGGAGGTCAGAGTTGAACACGTGATTTGGGGACCGCAGCCTCTGTTGAGGACACATGCTCAGGGCTCTTCCCCTCCTGATTTTTGGGAAGTCCTGCCCTGTGTAGCCCTGCTCTGCAGTCATAATCTTGCTATCTTCTGAAAGGAAAGGAGAAGTGGTTTCTCCCTCTCCCGGGAGCCTTTCCAACCAGCAGTCCTGCCTCGGCTTCCTTCCTGTTGGCTCCAGGTCCGGCTTCTTTCCATCACTGCCCTGCTCCTCCAGTCCCGCCCCTCGTGGGGTGAGCTGAGCTTCTCAGTCTCACACCTCAACTCCTGATGGCCAGGTCCAGATTCTGAAAGCATAGCTCTGACCTCATCCCTCCCCGATCAAAAGCAGTCAGACCTCCTAGCGTCCATTAAAGCCCCTCTCAGCATCACCCCACCCTGCGATCCCATGCTGGGCACCTCTGTGACGACTCCTCGCCTACAGGGTTCACCCCCAGTCTTTTGAACCGGCCACTATCTTTTCTTTGACTTTTGTACCCGATCCTGTCGTTTCTCTGCCTGAGGGGACCACAGACAGGGCTGGGCTGCCCCCCACCCCCAGCTCTTCCAGTTCCTGGCTCCATGACGGTGGGCAAGTCACTAAACCAGTCTGAACTTCAGTGTCCTCGACTGTGACATGGGCCGCCAGCTCTGGCGCCAGGGTTCTTCAGAGAAGAGGCTGTCTGAAGGCCCTTGTAGGGGCTTGCCCGATGACAGATGTCCAGGGCGTGAGGGGCTCCCCTCGCCCTAAGTGGCCACCTCTCAGATTACCCAAACCCGGCCTCTGCTCAAATTCCATTGCATCATTTGCTTTCCCTCTAGGCTCTTCTGCCTGGAAGTCAAATTCCTCCGTTGGAAAGACTCCATTTGAGCGTCTCATGTCTGGACAGCCGGGATAGACCTTGTCTCCTTGAGCCTGTGTCTGACTTCCCAGCAGGATGGAGATTTCCTGAAGGGCATTGACCACAGTGCGTGGTTCTCAGCTTGGCCATTGATTTGGTGATTGAGCAGTGGACTCCAGGCACTGGAGAGTCATTTGTTCTTTTGTTGAACCACATGTGATTGAATGCACATCTTGTAGTAGGTCTGTGCCTGGCACTGGAGCTGGAAGGGAGGCATCCTTACGGAGCCTGTCCTCCGGAGAGAAGGTCGCCCTACCAAGAGTGTGCCAGGCATGGACTGCAGATCTGGAGGGATGTGGTCCCTCCCCATAGGTAGCTCAGAACCTGGTGTGGGTTGGGGGGTGTGGGAGGAGTTCCCTGCCCAAGGAGAGGATGCTGCCCTTCAGGTGGATGCTCCCATCCCCTCAGATCAGAGCATGGGGTCCCCTCTCGAGATGCTACTAGTGGTCTTGTCAAGGTGTAGTATATCCAATCTGCAGATGCTTCCCACCTTGGCCTCCCCTTCCCACGGAGGGGGTCAGCTCTGAGGTCAGCAGCACCTTTCCTCATGGACTTGGTGCCTTGTTAGGTAAGCTCCTCTAAGAGGGGTGTTCTAGAATGTTCCAGTCTGGCTGATTGTGATGGTGCCTTGAAGGCTCAGGGCAGCTTGTCCCTGAATTGGCCTGGATGTCTCTCCTTACTCACTATTCTTCAGCCACAACGACCTCTGCTGAGTGATACATCCCATTCCTACCCACCTCAGGGCCTTTGCACATGCTATTTCTCTGCTGGGAATGTTCATTCCCTCCATTTTTGCATGGTGAGTGCTTTCTCACTTTTCACCTCTCCTGTTATTTCCCCCTG